GCCACTTGCTAGAAGTGAACACATTGCAGAAGAGGCGAGTGGTGAAGCACCAGGTTGCTCGTCAGCCATACCCTTTCATTCCAGTTTTGCACACTTGTATATAGTTGCATATTTAACAACTCCTTTTTTTATTATATTTAGTTTTTATAATTTTATTAATAATTTCTATTTTTCCCCAAGTCTATAAAAAAGTACTCACCCAGAAACGCGACACCGGGGGCTAAAAATGCAAAACAGCCAAAATGTAAGTTCATGTTTTTTTTATAATAATTTTGTAATATTTTGAAAAATCCAAGTTCTTTTAGATACGACTGACATGAGCGCATCGAGGAAAAATTAAATCGAATTAACTATAGGTAAACAAATGTCTTTTATAATAGAATAGTATATCGATGGTCAAACATTGACAATACATAACTTACTTTGAAAAGGCTTAGAGTTACGAGTTGTCAATGTTTAACCATCAATATAGTACATCCCTCATTCGCTCAATTTATTTCCCTTAGAATCACGTCGCATAAGCAGTGCACGGCAAATCAGCGTATCGAACGAGTACACTATAGGTAAAAGTATTGTTCTATATCTAAAACAAAATTTAATTCTTAATTTTGTTGCATTGTTTAGAATCTCGGCGCGTAAGCGTAGCAGCCACGATAGAAACTCACGCAGGTTCTCTAGAACCACCACAAAACGTGTACGAAGTGGTGTGCTGCAGTCACTGCTCCACGTTCGAAAAAAAGTTCGAAAAACTTGAGGGCACCATTAAGGAGCTTCGGCGGGTGGTAGAATCCCAAAATGTCGCAATAATGGACGCTATCGCAACTCAGAAGGTGGCAACAGAGCAACTAGTTCGGCAGGAGTCAGAAAATGCACCAGTTGTATATTTTCCATTAAATAATCTGGAAGAACTAGCACAACTAGAATGCAAACTCTCTGCTGCTAACCGAGATATTTTCGTATGTAATTTTAAAAATTTCATTATTAATTTTGTTTTTGGCCGGCAAAGGCAACAGTTATAAAATTTTGCCGAACTTAAGTCCGGGTTTCAATAAAACACACAATTTTATAACGATTATTTAATTACATTTCAGTCTGAAGTCGAAATATCCAATTAGAAATATAAAATTGAGTGATTTGTTGAAATTTGGAAGAGATCATCAGAAATAAATAAATAAATAATTTCTCTTATGGATTTCTTTGTTATATAATAATGAATATAATTATCTTTTTACTTTTTACAGGAATCGGCGATTTCTTCCATAATTTGCAACAATATGAAAAACGTATCATTGGTGCTTAGGACGCAGCTAATCCATCAAATAAATGTTGATGGATCACATGGAAAAGTAGGACTAAAAAAATTTCCCAATTTTTTTGCGTGTTTACAGGTATGTATACACGATTCTTTTCTTACGTCCTCGATTGGTTTTTGTTTTTAACAAAATTGTTTGTTAATATTTTCAGGAGCTGTTTCCAAATTGCCCTTCAAAGGATTAACTCCTGAAGAAATTATAAGGCGAACTTTACAGTTTGAAAAGGCAAAGCAGTACAAACGCATTTATAGAGAAAAGAAAAAACAAAATTAATGTATTACGTAGAAGCATGTTTTAACCCCACACTGGGTGAGAATTTTTAAAACGGCTCACTTTTTTCAGTGATGTGGAAATTTAAAATTTTTATTTGCAAATAGCTAGTCCTAAAGGGTTGATAAAGTGGAATATTTTTTGGTTTCTATGAATATTCATTTGAGAAAAACTAGTTTATTAAACAGCTTCCTGAACAACTGATGAGCTTTTTTAAAATAATATATTTAAGGTCAGTGAACATTTTTTATAACGTTTGTAACTTAACTTTTAAATTTAATTTTTTTAATGACTTTAATCACATTTGTTTAAAACAAATATGTATAAAATCATTATGATTTTTTTTTGCTAGCTTTAAATATATTATTCTAAGTTCATCTTTTTTTATAAAATCCTTAAAATTTCAAATCGTTTAGTGTACTAGTTTTTTGTAAATTAATATTCAAAGAAATCATAACAAAGCTTTTTAAATTGAAGGTAAAACTATTTTGAAAAACGACTTCATCAGCCGTCTTCAAGATGATTAGGATTAACTATTAAAAAATATATATATTTCGACATCCCTGAAAAAATTTATCCGTTTTACAAATTCTCACCCTTCGCCTTGGTTTCCATCCACATAAAATGCTCTAAGCCTGAACTTACAAACTATGAATTTAAGTTTCTTTCCGTTTTTCTTCGTTGAAGAATATATTTACTACCTCACTAATGTTATTTATGTTAAGTTTGCTATTGATATTAAAATGATATAAAACTTGATGAACTTTAACTACTTTGATATATTTCTGTGGACTTTTAACAAAACAGCTTTTGCGATTTTAGAATGTTTATCATCAGATTAAAAGATAATTAACTTAAGTTTAAAAATTTTTAGTTTTTGTTAAGCTATTTTAATTTTAAACTATACCCAAGACTAATAACTAGTTCGAATATTGTAAGAGAACTCAAAAATATTGCTTTAAACAGAAAGTGACATAACAGATAAGTTGTTTTTTCAAATGTCTACAGATTTACTTTTTGCTATAAAAGGGAATTTATCCAGGGGCATAAAAAGCGACTAATCTACTTTTGTACCCGTGCAGCTATAGAAGCGACTAATCTACATGTATACTCGTCAGGGTACAGAAGTCGACTAATCTACATGCATACCCATCCGGGTACAGAAGGCGATTAATCTACCACCCCTATTGCGAGTGTCGACTGGCAGTAGATAAACGACTATTAAGCGATTATCGATTATCGATGCTATTGTGAGTGTCGCTTAGTCGCTCAATTAGCGACTGTGAATACTTTTTAATCGCTCATCCTTCTATTGCTGTTTTTTAGTCGTTGGAGTTTGCGTTTATAAAATTTACATAAGAAAGTGGTACTATAATGGATAAAAAGTAAGTCAATTGAATTGGAAGTTGTTAAAAATTGTGCAATATACATACATATGTATGTACATATGTGTCTGAATTACAGATAAAAAATTGTAAGCAACAAAAGGCAACTTGCGCGGTTGGTCGAGCTGATGCAGGAGAGTGAGGACATAGGCAAAGGAATTTCCGTAAAGAGCAGGGAGGAAGCTCCGCTTCTTTTGTGAAAGATATACAATATTTCTTGTGCATATAATTCCGGCTACGCCATCCACAGTGTTTTTGCGCAGAACCAACATCAAAGTTTACAAAAAACTGCATAATTTATTAATTAATTAATGCTCGGAAACTTGAAATCTTTATGTTAAATTAAAGTTTAATTCTTTCACTACACTTGTATGTTAAAGTTTTAAAACTCGGGTCACGCGTTTGGACACAAATACTCAACATCATTGTACAAATAACTAAACGGTACCGTATTTCTTAAACTTCCATAAAATTTATTAATGAGGATAACAGCTTTTCCTGCAAATCCTGTAAAACCTAAAAACCTTGAAGCATCGGGAACGCAACTTCTATTCATAAAATTCACATATGTACATACACTTCATCTTCCAACTCCATGGGATCCGACGAATCTCGCAATTACCTCCTTGCTTTAGCCAACTCTACTAATCTATTAGCTTCCACATCATCTTCCTCATCACTAAACCATATTTCAACTGTGTCCATTTTTTAAATTTTATAATAAAAGCAATTATTTTAAAAATGATGTAAATGAAACATTAAAGAAACAAATGTAAACAAACAAACAGCAATTCCGCCACTATTCACAATAGTACAAATTTTTATCGATCAAGTTACACAATAGCAAAATAAAAGATGATCGACTCGATCGACAAATTTCTATTCTACTGCCAGTCGACACTCGCAATAGGGGCCTACATTTATACCCGTTCTGGTATAAAAAGGGTACAATTAGTCTCTCCATAGGACATGCTCGAACAAATGCGATCAATTCGTTCCATACACAGAGCGAAAAATAGTAGTAGTCGCATGTTCCTCGGCGATTGATCCCGGATGCATCCGGGATTGGTCGCATTTTTTGCAGGGATGATCCAAAAATTCCATCACACATACAAGGAACGGAACGACATGTTCAATTGCTAGCTAGCGTTTCCAAACGGGTTATACCGGAAAATGTAGAGGCTGTTATGGCGACGACATTAGAGAGCCGTGCGAAATTGCCCAGACTTGAAAGTAAAAAAGACTTCAAACAATAATTTTTTTTAGTTTCTTTTCTATAACTCACTTAAATTAATTTTTTCATTTACATATGTTCTGACTGATATGTTCTTCATTTTCCATCTCAAATGCATCCATTGTTAGTCTTCTCTGATTATGTTGATCGTGCATGAACTCTTTGAGGCGTTCGGGAACCCAGCCGCATGCACATGGAGCTGCCTTCAAATCGCATTTACATGTTCCAATGTAAAAAATTGTTTCCAGAGATTTTACATACTCTGTAAATTGTTGGGTGTTGTTTCTTCTCTTGATTTGCTCTTGATACTTGTCAAGCAATTTATTCAATTTATTAAATACACCTTTTTTCAGCATTATTTCCATACCAAGTTTTTCCCGAATTCCAATCAACTTATCTTGTACTTGAATAGTGAATGATTTATGGGAAAACTTTTTTTGTTCTGTTTTAGCACGTTCGCTTAAGTAAAAATAATATCTAAAGATATCCAGATGGGTTGTTAAATTAAGATCAGTTAAATCAGTAGACACACCAAAAACAGTAACATCATGCTTGGGTATATGACTCATTGGGCTTTCGATAGTTGTTGATGCAGTTGCTTCATCTTGCGGTGTAGAGGATGGTGGATTCATTGTAAACTTTTTGATTTGGAATGGTCACTTCACTTATTATTTTTTTTGAAATATTTTTTTATCTGAAATTAGCACTTCACACTTTGAGTTCTTCTTGTTGCGTTATATATGGTCTACGAGACGAGGTAATAAGAATGAAATGGTTATTTCAATTCTACCTGCTGTGTCTTGTGGTGGCTTAAAAAAAACAACACAAGGAATTTTACGATCCGCGATTGTGTCACAGTGATACCTTCATTGTTTAAAAGGGTTGCGGTGCATTCCAGTGATACCTTAATTGTTAAAATGGTTGCAAAAAACGCGCATTTCTTAAGAAGGTGCCTTAAAATACCCACAAAAAGGGTTGTAAAAACAACCTTCATTTCTTAAGTAGGTGCTATAAAAAAACTACACAAGTAAGTTTACGACATGCAGCGGTGTCTTAAAAAACGCACACAAGCAATTTTCCGATTTGCAATTGTGTCACAGTGATACCTTCATTTTTTAAAACGGTTGAATAAAAAACCCACATGTTTACGACATGCAAATGCATCACAGTGATGCCTTGGTTTTAAAAGGGTTGTAAAACCGCTAATTTCTAATAATTTTTTTTAATTTCTTTTCTATTACTAAGTTAAATTCATTTTTTCATTTACATATGTTCTGACTAAATAAATTTCTAAAGAGAAAAATAAACTCCAAAAAGAAAAAACATAGGCATTTCGCTGATTTTTTCATGTAAAGTGCAAAACCGGCGATTTTTTGAAATGTTTGTTTGGTGAACCCCCAGGGGGGTTCCAGGGGGTGTGCCACTGGCATCGGTGGGTCGGGCCTCCAAAGTTAGTGGGGGTCGGTCATACATTTGGACTCGATTGGAGCACTCTAAATGGGTCAAAGTGGGATTTTTCAAAATTTGCCCCTACCCAAAAGTTCGACCCAAATTGGGGGACATCAGAATTCGTTTTAGAGGTATGGTTCCTTCGGCAAAGTTTCTTATTTTGATCCCTAAAATATGATTTTCACAGAGCAATGGGCGATTTTTTTGCCTCCCCACAAATCGACCCGGCCTAATATACCTATATATTCTTTTATTTTATTTGACTTTTTACAACTTATTACTACAAACAGAATAATGCTAAGACCTCCTCGTTAGCAGATGTTTCAAGAAGTTGTCCGATATTGTTTGCTAGAATTGAAAATTGTCTTACGAAAGACTTTTTTCTTTCGAAAGACTGTGGTGAGTTGAAAGACAGCTGCCAGAACTGCCCTGTAAGATGTAAATTAATTGAGGTAGGGCCAACAAAAAAACTCTTAGCTAGCACTGCTAGCAAAATGACAAAAAATAAAAAAACAACCAACTGAAGTTAAACTCAGAGCAGCAACTTGCAACAGGCTGCAAACTTTTTCGAGCAGTAACAACTCAGTTGATGGCTTCATGTGCTGCTGTTTTTGCTAGCGATGTAACTCATCAGCTCATCAACATTCGTTGCCTAGACAGGAAATGTAAAATGAAATTAACACACAGCTGAATAAACACACACGACTTTAGGCACTCATTTGCCAACTTCTACTCGTACTCACTCGCATTTCGAATCACTTTTTAAAAGCTACTTTTCTGCACGGCAGCACTTCGAAATGACGAGACATGCCAACGAACCAGCTACATAATACATGTAAAGCTAGTGGATGTGCACACATTGACTGGTGGCACTACAACCCAACTGGCGCTGGCTGTGTGCCGCGCTGCATCCCCAACTTTCCGTGGAGTATTTGGATCAAACTTTTCTAAAGTTTGCTACTATTGTAATACATGTACAGACGTGTGTGTGTGTCACCAATATGCCAAACATTATCCTTTTCCTTTCATGCAACATTTTCCCAACAACCTTACTTTCATGTGGCATCCGCTATTAGTTGAGCCGCCTTAGAAGCAGACAGACAGCCCAGCACCAACAGCATTAGGGCATCTTAGAAAGTTTTTACCAGCGGATAAAGGGGTAGATTGTTGAGAC